TGGGGAAAAAATAAAACATAAAATATAAAATGTGCCACATTTTATGTTCTTTTTTTCCCAACAAATAAACTGTATTTGTGTACTAAACTACTCAAGTGTGTTCTCCATAGATGATGCGTCAACTTATTTCACTTAGAAAATCAAGAAGACGTAGTTTGACCGGGTTGCCCAAACTTTTGCCTATAACTGTGCCATTACGGCAGTGAAGGTCTCCATGTTTTTACACGGTGTACAAACGCAGATGAACAAGTGCAGCCTTAGCAGAATAAGAACAGTCTATTACTTACTTTTCCTCAACAGCGCCATGATTCATTCTTACACGTCTGCAAAGAGAGAGCAAACATGTCAGTCTTTTAAGTCAACTGTGTCCTTACACTCAGTTCTGCCTGCTTTCCCCAAACGGAAAATATTTCATCATAATTTGTTGTTTCACGCTGATAATTGGTGCTTTACTTTTATCAGTCATGTGACTAAGACATTACTAATCATCAGCTGGACTCTACTGCGGACGTATCATGTCCATTGTCCACCTTCAGCAGCCTCTGAGTCCCCTGTGTTCCTGCACACATGTGGAACTGCTTTGCAGGAGCCTTACAGCCCTTCCTTCCTGGTGGCATTCTTCACTGCGCCTCTATCTCTGGCTCACAAATATGCATTTCAGCTCAAATCTCTCCCTCTCCTTTTTTCCCTCTCTGGAAGAGTCCATCATGTCCACCGTGGCGTCTCAGCGCTGAATAAACATATGACTCTTTTCTGGCTCTTTTAAGGTCAGAGAAGCCAACTTCACCAAACAAAAGCTGTGCAAAGGCGGACTCATTTGGCACGGCCTGCTGAGGAAAAACGCTGAAAGTTGTGATTCGGTTTTTTCAGCATGGGGATGAACTGAAAATGAGCTGGTAATGCAGAGTCAGAAAAGCATGGATTAAAGCAAAATTAGACGCAATGAAACTGACGTTTTTTTAGTTGATAATGTCTCTACATTCATGGCTGTTTGACTTTTCTGCCCTAAACCATAGATCTGAAAAAAAATCCCTTACTTTTTAAAGGTATTGAATTTGTGCTTAACATACATAAAAGGGCAATTCCAGTGAATTTTCAAAATTTCTGCATGATTCAATCATTGAGTCATTCTAGGTGGTTTGGTGTGAAATTGTTCTCTCTTGTGGACTCATTTTCGAGAGTTTCTTTACAGTGGTGGTGACGTCTACAGCTCAAATACAGCCAATTTATTTACTAGAACTACCAGTGAAGCTACACGTGTTTTATATGTTATTCTGATAGTGGTAAACCTGAAAACTAAGTTATTTACTGTGGATTATTTTATCTTACAATGTCCTGCATGTGCCTTTCTACCCTTAACTGATTAAAAACATATGTTTTAGGCCCAAACCCTCTCTCAAAACATTCACAACCATTTCATGTAGTAACTTCACGTGAGGGAGCTTCTAGAGGCTTCAGACGTCTGGTTCCTATCACCACCACTGTAAACAGTTCTGACTCCGTAAGTTTCTCTAGAACAGAGCATTTCACACCAAACCTCTCTGAAGGACTTAAACAATTAACATTGCAGAAATTTTAAAAATTTGATGGAAGTCATTTAACCTGGTGCAACAAGATGCAGAGCTGAGGATTTTTTTTTGTTTATTTTGAACAACTGTGTTGTCCCAAAAAAGGGATAAAAATTCCACTAACAGGGCCTGAATTCCCTTTTTTTCCTTTGCAGAACTGTGGGCTGATGAGTGTACCATGGTTAAAGTTCCCAAGAGAATCAAGAGAAAACAGTTTTCCAGAACCAGGCCAAATTTTTCATTCAGGGAAGATTTAGAACCCTCTTTAAGGCGCGTGTGTACATATACACCCTGCAGAAAACATTCACAGTGAACTGCTTTGTCCAGTTACTGTCCTTTGACTTTCCGGACACAGCCATACCTCCTCACCCCGTCTCCGTCTGAGACACTGCTGTTCATGCTTCTACATTAATTTAAGGATAAGCAGCAGGATTTTGGTTTGTGAAGCTAAACATTTAAAAAAGATGGTTCTTCAAGGGTTCTCTAGTAAAGACAGTGGTTCTATTTAGAACCATGAGCTCCAAAGAGAACAATTTCAGGCTTAAATCGTTCTTTGCCTGGTGAAATGTTCTTTAGATTGATGGAGAGTGTGTTGTATGTGTTTCCATATAGAACCTTCTTGAAAATGGTTCTGTATAGCACCAAAAAGTTCTGCTATTGTTACTAACAAGTGTGTTGTATATGGTTCCATATAGAACCTTCTTGGAAACGGATCTATATAGCACCAAAAAGTGTTCTGCTATCACAAGTGTGCTGTATATGGTTTCATATAGAACCTTCTTGAAAATGGTTCTCTATAGTACCAAAAGCCTTCTGCTATTGTTACTAACAAGTGTGTTGTATGTGGTTCCATAAAGAACCTTTTCGAAAATGGTTCTGTATAGCACTAAAAATTGTTCTGCTATTGTTACTAAGAAGTGTGTTGTATATGGTTCCATATAGAACCTTCTTGAAAATGGTTCTCTATAGCACCAAGAAGTGTTCTGCTATTGTTACTAACAAATGTGTTGTATATGGTAATATATAGAACCTTCTTGGAAACGGTTCTATATAGCACCAAAAAGTGTTCTGCTATCACAAGTGTGTTGTATATGGTTCCATATAAAACCTTCTTTAAAATGGTTCTGTATAGCATCAAGAATGATTCTGCTATTGTTACAAACAAGTATGTTGTATATGGTTCCACACAGAACCTACCAGAAAATGGTTCTATATAGTACCAATAACGGTTCTGCTATTGTTACTAACAAGTGTGTTGTATATGGTTACTAACAATAGCAGAACCATTTTTGGAGCTATATAGAACCATTTTCAAGAAGGTTCTATATGGAACCATATACAACCCATTCTATCAATCTGAAGAACGATTTCGTCATGCAAAGGACCATTTAAGCATGAAATTGTTCTCTATAGAACTCACGGTTCTAACAATAGCAGAACCTTTTTTGGTGCTATATAGAACCACAAACAACATGTTCTTCATCAATTATAAAGAAGAACTATTTCACCAAGCAAAGAAGCATGAAGTGGTTCTAAATAGAACCACTGCCTTTACTAAAGAAAACTGGAAGAACCCTTTTTGGTGCTATATAGAACCACAAACAACACGTTCTCTATCAATTATGAAGAAGAACCATTTTACCAAGCAAAGAAGCATGAAGTGGTTCTATTTAGAACCCGTGGTTCTAAATAGAACCACTGCCTTTACTAAAGAAAACTGGAAGAACCCTTTTTGGTGCTATATAGAACCACAAACAACTCATTCTCCATCAATTATAAAGAAGAACCATTTCACCAAGCAAAGAAGCATGAAATGGTTCTATTTAGAACTCGTGGTTCTAAATAGAACCACTACCTTCACTAAAGGAAAGTGGAAGAACCCTCTTTTTAAGTGTGTATTCATCCAATCTGGATCAGCTTCAGTGTATCTCGGGTTAACTCTGTGTTTAATCTGTATGATCACAGTTTCAGCGCTCCTGGGAGGAAACGCACTTACGCAAACCCTCTCAGAGCAACCAGACATGTAGGCTTCACAAACCCCCCTGCTAGAGCTCGTCCTTCCCCGAATCCAAACCAAATCGGAGTCTGAGCTGAGCGGTGTGGAGAAAAGCTCTTACCTCCAGCTCATTTCAGCCCCTCAGCCCGGTCCGGATCAGAGCTCAGCGGTCGCAGCAGGAGAGCCGTTTCAGGAAGCTGCGCAGTGATTTCTGCACATACAGGCATTTAGTCGAGCAGCTACACCGCTTCGCTGATAACTCTCGGTAAAGCTGACCGAGTCCAGCTGCAGGCGGGCTTTTCTCTCTCTAGCCAGATGTGCTCTGTATGGAAGCCCATTTCCGCCGCTGGAGTAAAACAGATTTAGTGGCCATTTAGTAACTCATAATAATTAGTTTTACATCATTATGACTTAGAATCTCATAATTATGATATGCTATCTCGTAACAATGAGATTCTATTTCATAATTGAGTTAGTATCTCATAATAATGGCTTACTATGTCAGTTATAACTTGGCATCTTATAATTACGACTTACCTTCTCATATTTATGACTTACTATCTCAGCTGTGACTTCTCTTCTCATAATGACTTAGTATCTCAATTATGACTTCTTATAATTATGACTTAGCATCTCGTAATTATGACTTACCTTCTCATAATTATGACTTAGCATCTTAATCATGACTTAGCATCTCATAATTATGACTTAGCTTCTCATAATTATGATTTGGTATCTCATAATAATGAGGTTTTATCTCCTGATTAAGAATCTCAATTATGACTTACTTTCTCATAATTATGCATTAAGTTCTCGTAATTATGAGATTTTTTTCTCAATACCCAGAATGATAAGTGGCTCAGAAAATGTGTGTGTGTGTGTATTATGAGACATTTATTATCCTACATTTTAGAATATTTTTAGTATTTATCTCCGAAGTCCACTTATGACACTAGTGTGGTTTTATGTACCAAAAACATTCCTAATTCAGTTTTACATTTCCCCACCTCTCTATCCCTTAGAACTAAATAGGCTGTTTTTGTTACTGTGCCTGACTGACATATTTAAATGAGCTCTGTTCTGACAGGGGGCCCTCATTCAAAAAACAGTCCAGGCTGAAAAACTCCTGACCACTTCAGCACAAATCTGCTGAAGGCTGAACCAGCAGTTATATGTAAATGTGTTTGTGGCATCACAAAAACAAATGGAGACAGACTGCTTTTGCAGCTCATTTTTAACATCTGGGCTGATGACTGAACAGGACGCTTTCAATTCACTGTTTTTATACTCGATCAAACATTTTCGGTTTTCCATGATTTATGCCCTTTACAATGTAAAGTACAGAAGCTACTCATAATGAAAAGACAGTCATAATCTTCTTACTCATATTTAAATTTAGTATCTTTCATAAACATGTATTTACATATTTTCAACACAACAACAACAACAACAACAACAACAACATATGTACACTGTACAAAGTGTTTAGTGCAAAAGGCAGGTCATCATTTATACTGAATAGCACCAAGAGCTGAAAGGTCCACTGGAGCATGGTGTTCTCTTCGGAATAGCCCTGTGCTTTTGCCTGAAGCCACACAGCAGATTTCTTAACCGTTTTCAACATTATAATGATGTTGGGGCTGAAATCAGGCTGATTTTATGACATAAGCAGCCACAAAATCAGCTGGCAATAACAGGTATTAAGGTACAACCTACTGCAACAAGATTTGGCATAAGCATCACACAGTTCCAGAAACCTGTCTGGGAAAACTGAACATTAGCAAAAGCCAGACTGTAAGGTAGGAGGTAAGGGACGCTTCTGGCTACCGTCTGGCCCCAGGCAACATCAGCAATGCTACACAACCAAACTTCAAGAACAAAGACATTGCAAATAAACACAAAAATGACAATAATAATAATAATAATAATAATAATAATAATAATAGTCCTCATCATAATTTTTAAGTAGATAAGTTTTATCTATAGTGGCAACAGTCAGTGCTAATAATCCCCCAACCTCAGTATATATCAAGTTTGTTTTCATGTCAGGCACAGACTATTTTTATAAATGATTAATGATCGGTTTAATAATAGTTTGTTAAAATGTTATTAATTAGGCCATAAACACCTAAATAATCACCAATAAACAGTTGCAATGCATTATTAAAAAGGCCAAAAGAAAGCAGTTTATATATATATACACACACGTATGTATTATGTATGTATGTGTGTGTATATGTAAGTATTATGTATGTGTGTGTGTATATATGAATGTGATGAATGTGAATGCATGATGAAGCTGTTTAATAGCACAGATGAACAATGTGTCACTGCTGCCACTTTTATGTGTTGTAATTGCTTACTAGTGGTTTTTAAGACATTTATGGCATAAATAAAACCATTAATACCCCAAATTAAACTATTCATCAACACCTTACAAGGGTAGCCCTGTTATTTTGATATTTCAAAAGTACAGCAAAGTAACACTGGAGGCTCTGAGGTAATGTGTCTTCTGATGCTGCAAGACTGGACTACAGAAACAAACATTGGCTAAACCTGCTGTTATGAAACCAACACAACTAAAACAGTGCCATCACTGCTCACTGTGAGGGCAGCTTGTACAGTTTCTATGATGTAATGTGATGTCATGGATCGTCACTGGAAACAAACTGCTGATACTTCAGATAATCTCAGTTCCCTCAGAACTAATCAGCACCTCCAGGCCCAAAACCTCTAATCTGTGAAAGCAGACCTAAAAATAAGGATCAACTCAACCTCACATTAGTACAGTTAAATATATGAAACACACTGTTTTAACATAAATCAACAAACGAAAAAAAAAAAATCCAATATAAAGTCTCACACATGCTGTTAGAGCAGAGCCAGCAGCATGGAAATGTTGATGGGCAGTTCAAGACGTTCCTCTGTGTAATGCATAGCTCTGACCTTCTCAGGTGGGGAGAGCAGAAAAGCTACAGGACCTACACGCTGTTCTACACAAGTAGCACAGAGAACACCACCCTCCTCCACACTGTCCATCTAGAACACAGAAACAGACACAGCATTTGTATTGACAAAGTCATCTACAGGAGCGTCTATGGGAGAGCAGTACAAACACACACAATGACAATTCCTAGGCGGTTTCCAATAGCAGAAACTTACATGTCTGACAGGGACTTTGCACATGCTGAGGGGCGACTCCTTGGTGATGAGGTTGGGGCATTCTCTGGTACTGCATCTGACAGACTCATCCTTATTCAAAAGAGTACTGCTCAGCTCAGACCTCAGGAAGTACTCCTACAGTCAAAGAAACAATGCATGTTGCTCAGAGGTTCCAGACGGGCTTGATTAGATCAGTTTGAGATGCACTGTTCATTTATTTATTTATTTATTTATTTATCAGCACAAGAGAAAAAGCAGTAAATATACTTAAGAAAAAGTACTCAGAAGCCTCAACAACTGAATATAATATCAATATATTTAGTATCTAGTGTGTCCACTCTGTCTTTGTTACAGCTTCCATTTCAGTTTTTCCCAGAAATCTGCAGGGATATTTTTTCCAAAGTTCAGTCTTAGAAACTGCTTCTCACAATCCAAGCAATCCCAACATATTCAATGATATTGAGGTCTGGACTCTGGGGTGGTCAGTCCATTGTTCTGAGAACACCAGCAGCGTCTTTGTTTGATCTGCTATTTTTCCCTTTTTTGTCTATTGTTTCCTTTCTAGTAACTGCTTCTTTACAGCTACACATCTTATAGACCCATAGCGCTGAGTTGTCTTCTCACAGTGTGGATATTTTAGATCTAAAGGAAGAGTGGACCTTAAATTTTATAGCTGTTTATATGAGAATGCTAGTTTTGGGGGTCTACCAGGTCTCGCGCAGCTGTTAGGAGTCTCATTTTCTCTGCAGCTTTTAATAATTTTTTGAACTCCAGTTTTGGAAACACCTGTTTGTTCACTTTGGCTTCACCCTTTCTTAAGCAAGTGGATCATCTTACATCTAATCGCCTCAGAAATATCTCCACAACTAAGTAATACTGAGCAAGTAAAATGAAAAAAGTACTCACTCCTGCAAGAGTGAGGATATTGCAGATACTCTTGGTGATGTATAGTGATCTCCTGGCTCGAGTCACAGCCACATACAGCAGGTTCCACTCATCACCATCAACGTTCCTTATTCCTAAAAGGAGACAGAGTCACTATACGGCATACTGGGGAGATCATCTATGCGCACTGTTCCTCCACTGAGAGCAGATTCTCCAGGCTGCACATGGAATAACTGGCGCAAGTCAAAGGAAACAATTTTCTATTTCCACTGTTCTCGTCACGGAATGACAGATAAAATACAAAGATGCTACAGTCTGCCGGTGCCTAAACCTGCTTTTGACAGTCAGGGAAACCTAGATTTATAGTCAAGTGCATCTGGATTGAAGAGGAAGACACAGAATGAGAACATAAACTCTTCACACCAGCTCAGTTTTGATTGTTTCACTCACTAAATCATTTAAAATCTACCATTTTATGATGATCATAAATGTTTTACGATGTGACACTAAGACAAATTCAGTGATCTACAGAACATCCCACATAGCTAAGGCACAGATTTAAAAGGACACCAACCTGGGCTTATGTTCATTCTTTGTAGGTTGTGTCGGGAACAGGGCACTTTCATGAAGTCGTCCGTCACAACCACCGTGTCAAACTCCAGGCCCTTGGATTTATGCACCGTGCCCAGGATGTAATCTATAACGCCAAGTCAGAAAGTTCATGAGGACCTGTATGGCACCTTTTTCTACAGTTTCATTTAATAGTAATGCAACTGAATCAAAGCCTGATCAACTGGTGTATTTTGGCACCTCTAATAATTAGCATTCATTTAACATTCATTATCTGCTTCTCTCTCTCAGACCTGCAGTGTCTGGGCTCCTTTGGGCGCAGTTGTAGATGCGTTCCACTAGCTCAGGTATGCGTGCGTTGTATTTCTCCACCACAGAGAGCTTGGCCTCCAGCTCACGGTCTTCTGTGTGTGTGGCGTACTTCTTCAGGCCTGCATAACCCCCGAGCTTCTCCTTACAGAATGAACGGATGAATGAGTCCTTTATTCTTAGGTTATCTGTGGATGAAGAACAAACCTAGATTTTCCAGTGTTGCCACAGTAACACATGACAGTGCTTGTGGTGTACAATCAGGATCGGCCAAGATCAGAATTAGCCGATTTTTGCTTTAAACAAAAAAAAAAATTCTTATTTTAACTTTGGCTGATCTGTGTAATCAGGTAAGAGCACTCGCACTGTATCTGCAAGCTGCTGCTACTCCTATACCAAAATGTCACAGCATAATTATACATAACTCATCGTGCTAAATAGCCAGTTGGCTCCTACTTCTGCTGTAGCAAATCAATTAATTCAAGTTATTTTTCTTTTGAGAAATTAAAATATCATTTTGAGCCATTAAAGATCAAATAAATGTTATTTATGTTACAACTTTGGCAAATAGGAAGTACTGTGTTCATGTGTTCAGCTGGCACGCACACAATCTCAGAAAAACAGGTACGAAACCGTCACTGGGGCAGTGCCCCTCTTGTCACTGGGGTGGAACCCTCAAAGATATATCTCAGTACCTTTAGTCAGGGAACATAACTGTACCATAATCCATTGAAATTATATATTCTAAGTTGTGTTGACTCCACACAGCCCGTCTCGTCTCTAGGCTTTTTATTTTATTGCTCTGTTTTAAAACATTCGGTTATGAAAAGGTACAAATACGAACTTTTCACCTGGAAAAAACACAACTGGACTTTAAAACCACTGTTGTAGCTTTGAGGGAACATTTACATTGTTTGGACCTTGATAAACGAAAAATGTACCTGCACAGAACCTTTATTTCTAACAGTGCAATGTAAGCTTTGGGTTTAAAAAACGTAAAAATTGGCCATTTTGCAGTAAAGAAATTGTCCAAAAAGTCACACACTGATGAAATACTGTGTTGTTTAGCCGAACGCTCAGATGGGCTTTAATAGAGCTTCTAAGAGAAGATTCAAAAGCTTCACTGACCCCTCATACGTTTGACTTCCGGTTGCATTAGAATCCAGATATCCAGGATTTTCTTCAGGCCAAAATTTTCAACACCCTGAAACACAAGAACTAGATTTTAATCAAAATGGGACAGAAATGTAACCATTGCTACATTTGTTGTAAACATGACTACTTGCCCCCTATAGAGAAGCCACAGCCGTCCCAAAGTGATGTTTTTAGGTTTAAAGACTAGGAAAGCCCCCTTCAGATGATGTATCTTTGAGGTGGAAGAAACTTTTGAAAACCTATAGGTGCTTTAGGGCAGATACATGAGTGCAGGCTGTTTGAACTGTCTCCCCCCACTAGCTGGCGAATGCAGAAGGAAGCCAGATAGTGAAAGTTTTTGCTAGAAAGCCGAATATCACTTCTGCATTTTTTAGCCTCTACATTAACAGATTTATTCATCGTCTTAGGGAGGATTCCCAATAGTTGTATGGTGCGTTTGCATAATGCATGCTGGGTATTGTAGTGAGAGAAGATGACGAAAGCACAAAACGGATACAAAAATGTGAATTTTGTCAAACCGATGAGGCTGGGGGATGAAATGCTGTGCTACTAAACACTGCATAACATGCCGTAATATATCAGATGCTAGTTTTAGGCCAGAACTGCCCTTAAAATCTATGTAACTGTTCAACTGTTGATCTGTTTTCTCAGCAGAACAGACAGTTTTACATTCATCTGTGTTTGATGACTCACCCCGACGATGTGGATCTTGCAGTTGGAGTTGGCGTCAGTTAGACGCACTGCTTCACTGAACACGGTCACATTACAGCGACACAAAATGGCCACCTTCCCTCTAACCTGCGTCGTAGCCTGTTTTATAGACTCCAGTGTCTCCCTGTCCTCTCCTCTCACACTGCCTGAAGAAATACACACACACAGAACCAGAATGTATCACAAACTGACTTTCATTCCTAAAAAACACACACACGTCAAAACAATAGCTACGCTCCAAATCTAGGCTGCAGTCTAGGTGGGCTGCATTTCTAGTCCGTCGCATCATCAAAGCCGTCATCAAAATTTCCAGTCGCTCCCAAAATCCTTTGTGCACACATCTTAGAAAATTGAAGCAAGTTCAAGAAAAACGCTAACAGATGGAACCACCACACATAAAACTGATGTTTAGTTTGTACTACACATTGTTAATAAGGGCCAGTTAAAGGTATAAAATAGTAGAATATACAGAACATTAACTCCTCAATATCTGTTTAGGAGCTCAACTGGACTTGCTTCTAGTGCGTTAAACAGTTTTTCACTTGCAGGATAGCATAACAAATTAATTTTGTTTGCCAGTAGAGATGGATGATATGGCAAAAATATCATATCACAATAATAATAATACACAACGTATCACAATATTCTAAAAAATAGAAACAAGGCACAAGTACTGCTACATTTAAAAACTGTGAATACAATTTTATTCCATTTTTTACATACTGCACTGCATTTAATCTAATTAAACAAGACCAATTAAGCTCTCTTTGTAATGAAACATAGTTGGTCAGTGCTCTTTAGGTACTAACAATATTCACAATAGGCTCAGAAAAGTACACTGTTTATCTTGATAAAATCTACCACAATAATGATAAAAATCATCACAGCGCCCACCTCTACTTGCCAGTACTGTCTCTATCACTGTTTCATTCCAATGATGTGACAAAGCAGACCGTTCTGTTTTGCATTATATTACATTATACAAAAAAGGAACCTTCACAGGACAGTGCTACCGAGGACCCACCCTCCTCAGCTGCAGCCTAGTGTTTGGAATGCAGCTCATCTTACAGTAAACCTACCATCCTGGTGTCCACCAACCAAAATCTTCTTCACTTTTTTGCAAACATCCAGTATTGTGGCTCCGATGTAAGCAATCTCAGAGCCAAACCTGAAACTCTGCAAAAGATAAAGACAAATAAATAAACATGGTCAAAAGAAGTCGAGAGCAGCACAGCATACAGGGATAAAGCCTATTTATGAATATGCCGCACTCTGGATAGATATTCTCCAATAAAAGGAAAATATAGTCCAGCGCTAAGCTTACTCCCCGTCTTGGAAACTCAGACCCTCATTGTTCAGTAAAACTGCCATTTAACTTAATATTTGGCCCCCACTATTAATACAAGAGGGTGTCACTTTTAAATGTTGCTGTTGTTGGAACGAAACCTCATATCTCCATTTTTGTTGTTTTTTGGGATAATTTGAAAATGCCTGATATCCTTTAAATTGTGGGTGAGCTTCATGCTGAATGGACCAATAGAAATGGCCCAAAATTACTTGGAAAAAAGTCTGGTTCCACTGACTTACATTAAAAGTCATGTATGTTTACTTCTCCTATAAAGTTATCATTTTGGAGATACGAGGTTGTTCTGACAGCAGCGATCTATATGTGTGGGTGCTTGTACCTGTGTTAGGTAGTAGAGGTGTGTGTGTGGAACAGCATACAAAGCATTGACAGCTCCTCTGAAAGTGTAAATCTGCTGATGGGGATCGCCAACCAGGATCTTTCCGCAGCGCTGAGAGAGCATTATGTCCATGATCACTGAAAACAAACACAAACACACACCCACACAGTGCACAGCCGTTACTGACAATGGTAAACACATCTAACTGTCAGAAACCACAGAGCAGAACAGAAAGAGCAGAGTGAAACAGTGGATCCTGTACCTGGAGTGCAGTCCTGAGCCTCGTCAATGAAGATGACATCATAGCCTTTCAGCACAGGCCTCTGCATCTGCCACAGTTTCAGATAACCTGCAGACATGACCTCATGTTACAAAAAGCACCAACAAGCACACTGAGGAGTGAGGGGTGTACTTGATTTTCACCAGCAAAGTGAACATGTATTAACCTTTGTGTACTAAAAATGTATCAATTCAGTTCACTTACCATCATGGGTCATGTGGTACGCCGTTTCTCTGGTGGGCTCAAGCTCTATCATTTTGTCCCAGATGTCTTGTGCATCACCAGCAAACAACTGGAAAGAGGCAGACAGCACTAAATATTACAAATGCTGTAGGTGTATAGTCGTGACCCTGACCCACTTCATGCTCTCAGTGGAATTTTACTTGCCACAACCACCCACCTATTCAAATTTCAACATATCCTACTGTCTGAAGAAAATACAATGCATTGCAAGTACAGCTTAAGTGTCCCAGTGGCTCTGATGAGTTGTAAAATTTTGAAAATATAATATTTCATGGTTTCCCACAGCCATTTATAGCTGAATTCCACAGCGCCTCTACTCAGAGGCATGTGAGTGGGCACCCCAGCTGACCACTCCACTGAAGCTGGGGGTAGATAGGTCACTGGGTTGTTCTGTCTGGGCAAATAATGTGTGAAGCATGTGATTTTCAGATTGTGAAAGCGAGTCACTTTTAAAGAACCGTTTAAAGAGCATAACAATACAGAGACCAAAAAACAAAAGCCATGCTGTGAGATCTGTACGTACCTTGGGTACCTAGCACAACTATTAGCCTATACTCTAACCTGCACTGGTCAACGCAGAAATGTGCACTGTAGTGGTCAGGACTGGGATATTGTTTTTGTTTTGTTTTTTTTTGCTGGACTGCAGCCAGCCTACGAATTGATGTGAGGCACTGAGTGAGAGAGGAACTGAGCTGTACACATTTAAAAAAGATGGTTCTTTAAGGGTCCTTTAGTAAAGAAAATGGTTTTGTATAGAACCATGAACACCCAAAGAACCCTTTGCATGATTATAGGGTCCTTTGCATCATGAACGGATGGAGAAAGTGCTGTAGATGGTACTATACAGAACCTTTTTGAAAACAGTTCTGTATAGCACCAGAAAGGGTTCTTCTATTGTTACAAGATAGACATTGTACACTCTTAAGGAAAGATGGTTCTTTAAGGGATCTTCAATAAAGAAAATGGTTCTATTTAGAACTATGAACACTCCAAGAACCATCTGCATGATTAAATCGCTCTTTGTATCATGAAATGGTTCTTCAGATTGATGGAGAATGTGGTGTAGATGGTTCTATATAGAACATTTTTTAAAAGGGTTCTATATAGCACCAAAAAGGATTCTTCTATTGCTTTGATGTTAAGCTGCTTATAACATTAGAAGAACCCTTTTTAGTGCTATATAGAACTCTATATATAGAATCATCTAAGGCACATTCCCCATTATCCTGAAGAACCCTTTCATAATGCAAAGAACCCTTAAATCATGCAAAGGGTTCTCTGAGTGTTCGTGGCTCTATATAGAACCATTTCCTTTACTAAATAACCCTCAAAGAACCATCTTTAAGTGTGTAACAACAGAAGAACCCTGTTTGATGCTATATAGTACCCTTTTTAAAAGGTTATATATAGAACCATCTACAGCACATTCTACGTCAATCTTAAGAAGAACTACTAATGCAAAGAACGTTTAATCATGCAAATGGTTCTTCATTTTCAATACTAAAGAACCCTTGAAGAACCCTCATTTTTAAGAGTGTAGCGTTATCAGACACAAACAGCAGGTACTATACACCACTAAATACCCTCCCAACGTCAACAATGCCAGGCTAACAAATAAAGTAAGAAAGCAGAAATGCATTAACTGAAGCACATCATGCATCTTACAGTAACGATGACCAATAACAACAGGTCTATCATGTGGAATCTTTCTTTCATCTTGCTGTATAATTTACTCAGCATTTTCCGTGTGGCCCACCGGTGGTTAAGCAGAGTGTTAGACAAAATTCCACGTATCATCGCTCATTTTCCACCCACGGTCCAATTTACTTATCTTTCCTTCCTTCCTTTCTTTAGTTATACTTTGCAAATTAGTTAAGTACCTAATTTTAATCTGGCACAGTGTCAGCAACAACATTTTCTATACTTTTTTTTAATATCTGGCCTAGTTATTATTTTTTCTGTCTCAGTTGTTTGTAATATTTGTCTTAGACTATTTTCTAAAATAAAAGGCTCTGTGTATTTAAAATCTGTTTGAGGGGATTAAAAAACTAGTTAGAGCTTGTATGCAGGACAGTAATCCGGGTGGTCCGAGGGTGGACCAGCAGTGCAAAAAGTCAGTGGGGTGCCGACTTTATCAAGCCAGTGGACCGACATACGCTCGCTATCTGGGTATCAGTCAGCTCTAAAGTTACAATGTCAGTGCAATTAGCATACATGCTAGCAGCTATAAAGCGAGTCATTTTTCCTTATTTTTACACTCTTAAGAGTGTCTCTCTCAAGATTTAGAGTAACTATGGACATTACGTGTGAATTAGCCCTTTGTAAAGAGTTCACCAAGTTTATATCAGCCAGCTCTAACGCTATGTTAGTGCTATTAGCATACATGCTAGCAGCTAGAGAGCGAGTCGCTGTTTTTGCTCTTATTTTACACTCTCAATATTCAGACTAACTGTAGATATTGTGTGAATTAGCACTTTGTAAACAGTTTATTACGTTAATTTCAGCCAGCTGTAAAGATATAATGTTAGTACTGTTAGCATATATGCTAGCAGCTACAGAGCGAGTCATTTTTGCTCTTATTTTTACGCTCTAAACATTTAGAATAACTGTAGACATTATGTGTGAATTAACACTTTGTAAACAGTTTATTACGTTAATTTCAGCCAGCTGTAAAGATATAATGTTAGTGCTGTTAGCATATATACTAGCAGCTAGAGAGTGAGTCATTTTTGCTCTTATTTTACACTCTCAAGATTCAGACTAACTGTGGATATTATGTGTGAATTAGCACTTTGTAAAGAGTTTATTAAGTTATTATCAGCCAGCTCAAAAAATCTAATGTTAGTGCTATTAGCATATATGCTAGTGGCTACAGAGCGAGTCATTTTTGCTCTTATTTTTACACTCTCAATAAAAAATGTACATTTCGCTGGACTCTACACACGATTCTGTGTAACTGTAGACATCTATGAGGGCAGAAACTCTCAGAATCTGAGAGACATGTTAATGTTACTATTCTGAAAACAGTCCGTTGTAATTAAGACTTAGCTGGAGAGCCTGTTATATCTGTCTTCAGTATTCATTCAACACAGCAGCAGACACATCGTGTCAATTATTACATGACTCAAACAAATCCATGAATTCCAGCATGGATTTATCCACTACTGCTCCTTTGCCAGCACTGGATCAGAGAGTTTCTAGTGATGAATTTGTAGACTATTCTGTAGCACAGAGCCTGAAACGCCACTTCTGTCATAATAACAGTCCTGTATGTACTGTTTAAATAAGGTAACACGATTTACTTGAACAACTACTGAACGTCACACTTAATAACAATAATAAAAGTAATAATAATTTTGCTATAATATCCAGTTATGTTGAAGTTAAGCTAGCTAATGTCTATGCAAACGTTTGCCAGTGCCTCCTTTTGCAAGTTGCTGCCCTAAGCCATGTGTCTAAAGGTGAAGGTCTGTGCATTACCATTTTTTTGGCTTCATCAGGGCACTCGTCACGGCCGTTAGTATTCCTGTACACTTTCGGGACGTGCTGGGTGCCGATGTATGTATCTGTGGAGGCGCAGAAATTGTTGATAGTTTGCGTCACCACCTTGGCATTGACGAAGCCACCGCGGCCCTCGGGCAGCTTCCAGGCCACCGTGAACGGCTGCACGTTATTGCACAGCTTGCCCAGATTCCTGTACCTGGGGGTAATCACAATCTCTCATCAATGTGGACTTGGTAACTACCATTAGTTACCATTAGGTTCACCAGAACTGGGAAGATTTAGTTTTACAAATTTATTTTGGAAATGAGTGAATTCTATATAAATGACTACACAGAACTCTACAGGAAGCTATTCAGACTGACCTGTGTCCAACAGCTTTATAGGCCATAGAGTGAATTGTCCTGCATTCCACATTGCAAGGGAAACTGCTGTCGGCCTGCGTCGCCACTGATTTGTTGAAGGAAACGTAGAGAAAGCGCAGGTCTGGCCTTCGCTGGGCGTACTTCACCAGCGTGGTTGTCTTTCCAGTGCCTGGGACAAATAACAACACTTCAACAAGCAGGACTAGCTTTCTGACGCTTATAGGCAAGGGATCCATCCATGCTTCAGTTTGTTGAGGAGAACTGGCCCTGGACGAATGCTGTTATTAAAGAGCTATAACTCCTTATTATTTTATCCTTTTCTTATGTTAGTAACGTCTCTGCTTGTTTGTATGGTAACATTTGTGTGAATCAGCACTGCAAACATTAAAAACCGGGATCTTAGTACCTTGTGTAGTTGACTTTGTGGCAAGATTTTAAAATGATAACTCTGTCAGGCAGACCAGTAATCAAGCTTAAACAGCTAGCACAGCCAAAAAATGAGCACAGTAAGTGGTGATTAACCATACAAATATAGCCTGAACTGCAGCGTTCTTACCAGCAAAAGCCATGATTTTGACAACGTGGTCTCTCTGGATGTCATGATTGAGGATCTGCTGCTGTTCGTGAGTGACTTGAAACTGCTTCTGGCTGAGCGTGGAGACAGCAATAAAGATCACACTTCACACTTTCACAGTTTGCAGAGCACTAACTGGTGTATATAAGCTTCCATTACTTGTTAGCCACCTTAGCCCTGTAGTCCCAGCACAAAACTCTAGATGTAAATTTTGAGTACATTAGATTTGAGGCTAAATCATCACTTTAATTGCCCCTACCTGCCATCTCCAGGACTCAGAGGCGGCGGCGCATTCTCAATCAGGTGCAGCACATAGAAAATATTGTAATGCCACCTTATAGAAGGACGAGACAGAAAAGAGCCTATCGTTAAGAGTCTCTCGTCCTATAAATAAACAAGCCTCGTAGATTCTCACTAAGTGCTACACAACAAACAATACAGTCTTTCACAGACTGGCTATTACATGATGATCACTTAACCTGAGCGCATACATCTCTCAATCATATCCACTCAGCTGCCAAAAGTGCACACTCGGTCTTGCTTTAAACATCATTGTCCACTGAGAGTGGACACTACACAGTGCTTTCACACAGTCACTCAGGTGTAGATTTCTCACCCCTCTATGGAAAATCTCACCTGTTACTGATGGTTATGTTAGTATTCCTCATTGCAAGCAGCAGGGTGGCCACTGCCCACAGGTACTCAGAGACCCCACCTGGGGTCAGGAGACATCCAGAAGTACGTAAGCGAGCCACAAGGTCTAGGACATCCTTCACCCCATCTGCCAGGATCAGCATCAGGGCCAGGAGAGACCATGGGTTTGGCTCCTGCAGCACATGAAGATTTCCTGTGAATCATTTGTTTAAGTTTGTCTGAAATACAAACCTTATTTTCAAGAAGTTGGGTCAGCATGTGAAACAGAAAGCAGTCCACTTCGACCACTATTTAAACAAAAACAGCAAAAGGACAAGATATTTCATGTTTTACCTTATCAACTGCATAATTGGTTGTAAACACACACTCATTCTGAAATTGATGTTTGCAGCTTGTTACAAAAAAGGTGGGACAGAGAAAATTTAAGACTACAAATGTGAAATGTGAAACATTTAACAGGTGAAGCAATCATGCTTGGGTATACATGGAACATCAAGGATGGGTAAAGTCCTCGCTGAGCAAGGACGGCTTGGCCAAAAATGCTTCAGCAATTAAGATTAAGAGACCCTTATTAGTCCCACAACGGGGAAATTTCACCTCAGCAATCTAACCCATCCGTGCAGTGAAACACCACATACACACTAGGGAGCAGTGACACTTGCCCGGAGCGGTGGGCAGCCCTATCCACGGCGCCCGGGGAGCAGTTGGGGGTTAGGTGCCTTGCTCAAGGGCACTTCAGTCACGTCCTGTCGGCTCAGGGGATCAAACCGGCAACCTTCCGGTCACAAGGCTGGTTCCCTAACCTCCAGCCCATAAGTGCCCCACCAGCAGTCATGACAGTTTAAGAATAATGTTACTCAATGAGTGATTGCAAGGATTTTAGCCATTTCACCCTCTGTGGTGCACAGCATCACCAAAAGATTCAGGGAATTCAGAGAAATCTCTGTGTGTAAAGGGCAAAGCCAAAAACCACAACTGTATACACATGACTTTCACTCCCTCAGACAGCACTGCATTAAAAACCAGCATGCTTCTGTGATGGACATCACCACATAAACACAGTGCGTCACTGTATCCACAAGTAAAAGTTAAGACTGTACTATTTTTACACCTTCTAGGCGACGTCCATATTTTACTTCAACATGACAATGGCAATCCACATCTTGCATGTGTTACAACAGCATGGCTGCATAATCAGAGAGTGAGGGTGCTAGACTGGCCTGCCTGCAGTGCAGAACTGTCTCCCACTGAAAACATGCAGCATATTATGAAGTGCAAAAGTATGAACGTCCCATTCGGCTGCACAGATGAAGACTTGTATTACAGAAAAATGGCAATAAAAATGACTTCCAAACTGGATCAGCTGGTGTCTTCAGTCCTCAAACTATTACAGTGTTGTTAAATGGAAAGCTGATATAACACAATGATGTTCCTGTCCCAACTTCTTTGGAATATGCTGCAGGAATCAAATTTGGAATGAGCGTGAACTTAAAAAAAAATAAATAAACAGAAATACAATTAACTTACAATTAATTTGTATTTACATACAATTTATTAATATTTGAGGAGTGTTTGGGGGGGGGGTCCTGGCAGAGACACCACTACATACCCCATCGATGATCTCCATGTCTGGCAGCCTATGCTTCATACAGGCCTCTGCCTGGGCATACAGCCGATGGCCTTTTACGCTCAAAGAAACGTCCTTCACGTTCACCCGTCTACTGTGTTTGAACCGGGACATGTACCTGCAACAACAGCATAGCAGTATAAGGATGCTGCCACATTACATTAATGAAGAACAGTGTGAGTTATGAACCTGACTTCTTGAGCAACCTAAGTCAAGAAGGGCCTTCACCCAGGTGTGTGAGACCGCGGGCAATGATGGGCCTGACTAACCAGGGCCATCCCCGAATGGGGGCCCTCTAAAAGTCTTCGAAAATTAATTGATTTTGGTTTTGATACTCAGTTATAATAAAAATGATTATTTAATTAAAATAAAATTTTCCATGATAAGTTCTGCTTATCTACACTGCCTCAAAAGCAAAAGTGGTTTGATCCTCTGGTGCACACATCTATCATTAGCAGCTGCCCTCCAATTCCAACCTGGTTAAAATGAAACCAAACTAAATATTTCAAAAATGGAAGGAGAGAGAGAAAGCAATAAACGAGCAAATAACTTCTGAGCCGCTTCTTTAGGAAAACAGGCGAGCCTAAAGTGCCAAACAGTAAACATGTTGTAGTAGCTAGCTAGTGATTTGCCATATCTATGGCGACTAGCTACATTTGCAGTCATTTGTAACAAGAACAAGCTGATAAAGACGCACAGGATTTGATTCATCGCAACAAGTATTTTTTTTTTTAAACACAGTGTCTCCGTGATCAAACAAAGTTAGCCTCAGCACACCAGCTAACTTTTAAAACATTAGTTTCAGAGGCAGTCAGTTAGGTGAGCTCACCAAATTAGGCAGCTGATAGGCGTTCCAAACAATGAACCATCTGCAGAGCAGTTCCAGTGAAAATGACAGTAATTACATTTATTTTTTTATTTTTTTAGAATTCCCCTCTATTACACTGATTGTTTTGAAGATAGACCAAGTTTAAGTCCAATTCTTATTAAAAGCACAAGTCTAATTTGGCTCTTTAACCCTTAAATGTATACCAACCAACCTCATAAAGAAATACATTACAAACTTTTGGTGCTACACCCCTGCCTTCACCACAATAAGTCTTTAACCAAACTGAGTTTTAGCTGGGGACCAATTTAAAGTTAACTAGTTAGCCAGCTAACAAATGAATCCAGCACTGCAGTTTGCTGAAAAATGTATCTTCGGCACTGTTCAGTTGTTTTCAAGCACCATGACCACTTTTTCTTTTGACACTCAAGGTGTTCCGCTGAAAGCTCTTCAGAGCTTAAGAACTTCTAAACACTTTAAAACACTTGAAACCACATTTTCCTCACTTTGAAGAACTTAATCATGTGTCCCCAGGAAAAACAAGCTTAAACTACGTCACGAACCATGAGCATGAAAGAGTCAGCTTTAATAGGTTGCAGTTGCTGGGTTTTAAAGATTCTCTGAGAGGCATTAAGAGCCTTACCTCACCATGTTCAGCACACACAGATCATCAGTTTTAATGATGCTGTTGTCATTAAGCAGGGCCTTGACTTCCTTCACTGCCTCCTCCTCCCACTTCTCATATCTGTAGTATAACTTCTTCCATGGCATAAACTACACCAGAAAAACAGACCTATTGTGAGATGTGGACAAAACCAGCCAGTACCAGGAATCACGGTATTTTTTAGCTAAAAAGAAACAGTCTCATCTAAACTTCACACAATTTTAGATTTAGAGTAATGACGTAAAAGGAACACACCTGAGGATCTGTGACGATATCTCTCCAGCGATGGCAAACCAGACTGACATGGCGGTAGAGGTCATCTGCTGGGAGGTGAGCAAAAATAACACTGAGTATCTCTTCTGGTAGGTCCTGAAATTGACCCTGGGGCACATCCAGACCCCCATTCACCCCCAGCAGCCCGTAGTGAACATCAGGAAGGCTCTCCACAGGGTAGTCTTCATACTCTTCTTCCTCCTTCTTCACAGTAACATAAGAGTGTCCTGTACTAAAGGTAGATCCTGAAAGAGTTCCCCAGCTGCTACATCCCGCTACCCTCCCCTCCTCGTCCTCCTCTTTCTTTATTGAACTTCCACTCATCTCAAACTCCTCATCGTCCTCAAACATGTCTTCAGTAATGCCTTCCATGTAGTCTTCTGTCACTTCTTGTTCCTCATCCTCCTCTTTTGGTATGACATGTCCATTCTGTTCATCTTCTGTCTTGACTGTAGGCTCATTTTTTCCTTTTTGGGGACTGCTGCTGAGGACTCCAGTGGAAGCGAAGAATTCGGTAATGCCTCTCTGGTGTCTGCCACCTTCTGTCGCTTTAAAACAAATTCAGAGGCCTTAAATCGTTGTAAATGCAGTGGTATAATACAAGACCACATCAAAAGTCAGAGAATGTATTTAATGTTCAGTTGAAATGGCTGTAAAGTACAAGGTAATATTATTTTTAGTTACGGGGGGTTGTTGGGAGAGACAACATACACCGATCAGGCATAACATTATGACCACCTCCTTGTTTCTACGCTCATTGTCCATTTTATCAGCTCCACTTACTATATAGGTGCACTTTGTAGTTCTACAGTTACAGACTGTAGTCCATCTGTTTCTCTGCATACTTTGTTAGCCCTCTTTTACCCTGTTCTTCAGTGGTCAGGCCCCCCATGGACCCTCACAGAGCAGGTACTATTTGGGTGGTGGATCATTCTCAGCACTGCAGTAACACTGATGTGGTGGTGGTGTGTTAGTGTGTGTTGGTCTGAGTGGATCAGACACAGCAGTTGGTAACAAACTACTGAGTGGAATCAGGCATGTCTGAGCAGAATAAAAATCAGACTCTAGCCTTCCAGGACTCTTGTGTAGTTCCAGACCGTCATCAGTCCAGTCAACATGAGGCATGGTGTCAAACTATTTGTCAATCCCGATCCTAAATTAGTACCTCTCTGCACATCTATGTGTCCATTCCTGCTCCCAAAACACCTGACTCAAATAACCAGCTTAATACCAAACCTTTCCTGTGTGCTAGGCAGTGGCACACCAGGACCAGGACTGAGAGCCACTGGAGGGAAAACACTGTGACTGTTAAATTCATACCTCTTCTTCTTCTTTTAGTGGGGGTCCTTGGTTGAAGCCCATGATTCGGGTCATTGATGTGCAAGTTGACAGAGAAAGGCTCTGTGATAGACTGGCTGCCAGCTTTGCCTCGGCTCAAACCGTAACACTCTGATGCGCTGAGGTGCCTGCGTTTGGCCTTCCCTAAAAACCCAGAGAAACTGTATTAACAAATACTGCGGAGTAGAGATGGGCGAATACTGAAATATCAACACATCCGACCCTGAAGCTTTATTTTAAGAATCTATTCTTATTTAAAAACATAGATTATAATTGTAACCAGTAACTAACATACTTTGTCATGAAATTAAATGTGTATTTGATGCTGAACTGGAGGGGATTCTACTGAATAAATGTATAGAATATGAACTACCTATTCCTGGCCTCTTTATCCACTCCTGATACACAAAATATCCAGACATACCTAACATAATTTTAATCATAATAGCCACAATGTCTTGAAGAGCACAATTTTATAAAAATGGTTGATGCACAGGTACATACCAGCTTAGACCAAATCAGACAGTGTAATAAAGCAAACACTTTCAGATTTGTTTTCTTGATGTCTGCATTTACTATTTGTTAACTAAGAATGCATGGTGATGCCACAACCATGTTGGTTTGCTTAAAAAACAGCATAAGACTGACATACTTCAAACAGATATTTGACTATTTGTAAACATCAGTATCGGTACATTTGCATTACTCGGTATCGGATCGAAGCGATAATCGGTGGTATCGCCCATCCCTACGGTGGAGAATCTGGACACACACAAACAAAACATGCGCGTTTCAAACTTTCAAACCCATGGCTAGTAAAAAATACCAATGGTCTGTTGTAGTTAATACGGACTGATATTTAACGTTAGTGTTAGTGCCATTTGTGCTTTAGTAGCTACTGTACTGAAAACTAACTGCAGTTTCTACAGGTTCTTGCTACAGCTAACCTAACCTACAGCTACTGAGTGGCTGCGGGCACCTTTCACAGCGGACTCCATTGCCGAATAAATGAGTCCTCCTGTCGAAGGGAATCTCGAGATTTAATGCCCTGCAAAGACCACCATGTTATCCCATTGCTGTTTTGAACCAAAAGCCAAACAACCACGAAGTTAAATGGCCATGCAAACCCTTTCCAGTGGTCTTCAACCACGGTGATAGTATCGCTTTGAAAACTTCCGGACCAGTCGCTCCGCTCATTTCATAATAAAAGTCTTGTTTACAATATTTCAAAAACAAATACGGAATTCAGTTTCAGTGACATTGGACGGCGTCATACAATAAGCCGAATTAGACATCGAAGCAACGCCTTATTTTCTATTGTTTGTTCTTTTTATATCCTTCGCTGTCCTGATTTGCTCTCTTTCGCAGAAGAGAAAGCGCTAGATGGCGGTAATGTCGTATCAGCCATAGAGAAGCCAAGGAAAGCTGTTTGGGTTGTGCAGAGACCTGGCTACTCTTATTGTGTTGCAGTAACTCTAGCCCAGTGGTCACCAACCGTCCTCCAGGAGATCTACTTTCCTGCAGAGTTCTCTAATTAACCTGCGTCTAACACGTTGCCATCCCTTTGCCTGTCACTAATGCATCTGATCCAGCCAATAAAGAACTTTTGAAGGAGTTAATTAGCTGGAGCAGGTACACTATATTGCCAAAAGTATTCACTCACCCATCCAAATAATTGAATTCAGGTGTTCCAATCACTTCCATGGCCACAGGTGTATAAAACCAAGCACCAAGGCATGCAGACTGCTTCTACAAACATTAGTGAAAGAATGGGTCGCTCTCAGGAGCTCAGTGAATTCCAGCGTGGTAGTGTGAGAGGATGCCACCTGTGCAACAAGTCCAGTTGTGAAATTTCCTCACTACTAAATATTTCACAGTCAACTGTCAGTGGTGTTATAACAAAGTGGAAGCGATTGTGAATGACAGCAACTCGAAGTGGTCAGCCATGTAAAATGACAGAGCGGGGTCAGAGGATACTGAGGTGCATAGTGCGCAGAGGTCGCCAACTTTCTGCAGAGTCAATGGCTACAGACCTCCAAACTTCATGTGGCCTTCAGATTAGCTCAAGAACAGCGTAGAGAGCTTCATGGAATGGGTTTCTATGGCCGAGCAGCTGCATCCAAGCCTTACATCACCAAGTGCAATGCAAAGCGTCGAATGCAGTGGTGTAAAGCGCCGCCACTGGACTCTAGAGTGACCAATCATGCTTCTCCATCTGGCAATCCGATGGACGAGTCGGGGTTTGGCGGTTGCCAGGAGAACGGTACTTGCCTGACTGCATTGTGCCAAGGGTAAAGTTTGGTGGAGGGGGGATTATGGTGTGGGGTTGTTTTTCAGGAGTTGGGCTCGGCCCCTTAGTTCCAGTGAAAGGAACTCTTAATGCTTCAGCAGACCAAGAGATTTTGGACAATATCATGCTCCCAACTTTGTGGGAAGAGTTTGGGGATGGCCCCTTACTGTTCCAACATGACTGCACACCAGTGCACAAAGCAAGGGCCATAAAGACATGGACGAGCAAGTTTGGTGTGAAAGAACTTGACTGGCCTGCACAGAGTCCTGACCTCAACCCGCTAGAACACCTTTGGGATGAAATAGAGCGGAGACTGCGAGCCAGGCCGTGTATGAAGGCAGACGAGCAAATACTTTTGGCAATATAGTGTATGTACAGAAGTCCATGGAGGCCATGAGGTAATTCTAATTTTCTGCACTGTTATCTTGAGATCATGACCTAATTTTCTTGACCTAATTATCAATTTATCTTGAGAAAACAACTTTTGTTATCTTGAGTTCACAAGACATATAAGCCATGATCTCAAGATAACAGTCCAGAAAAGTCTAACTACGTCATGGTTTCTTTGGATTTCCGTAGGTGTGTCAGGTTGTACCTGGAACAAGAGTCGGCAGGAACGCAAATCTCCAAGTTCAAGGTTGGATACCAGTGCTCTGGCCAGTGTCCAGCCCCTGGTCCTCTTGGAGGACGGCAGCCCAACACAATTTCGTGACTTTCCTGCTCAAGCACACCATGCTCAACACACCAGGTGTAGTGAGTGTGCTGAAGCAGGGCTATCACCAATACTGTGCTGGATTCAGCATTTTTCAACATAATCTCTATGTTCCGCATCTGTAGCCTACAGTCACTTACAATATGCAGTAATTTAACTGCATTTCCCTGTTTCTGAGGACAGAATCACACATTATGCATGAAAATAAAATTCCATTTGTTGTAAAAACATTTCTGTAAAACATTTTACTTTGCAGTCAAAGGTGAATTATGCTTTAAATACAAACACAGTTCTGAAAAGGTTGGGACAGTATGTGAAATGTTAATAAAAACATAATTGTGAATTATGTTTGATGTGTATTAACCTGAAAACAGTACAAAAACATGAGATTTGATAATTTACCTTCATTAACATAGGTTTATTTGTTGTTGTTTTTTGTAAACATTCATTCCAAATTTAATTCCTGCAACACATATCAAAAACATTAATACAGGAGCAAGTTTACCTCTAATATGAAACATCATTTTGCCTTTTAACAGCACTTAATTTATAATTTGTTGACTAAAGAAACCGACTGATCTAGCTTTTTTGCCATTCTTCTATTATAAAAGTCTTCAGCTGCACAACCGTAAAATGCCTTTGTTGTCATACTTTGCGCTTCATAATGTGCAATGCGTTTTTAATGGGAGGCAATTCTGGATGAGTCCAGCACCTGAACTCTCTGATTACACAGCCATGCTGTTGTAACACATACAGATTGTGGCTTGATTTTGTCATGTTGAAAATAAGCAGGGACGTCCCTGAAAAAGACGGCATCTAGAAGGCAGCACATGTTGCTCCAAATTGTGCATATATCTTTAAGTAGTAATTAGGCCTTCACAGATGTACAAGTTACTCATGCCATGGGCACTAAACCCCCCCATACCCTGGCAGACCCTGGCTTTTGAACTTCATGCTGGATGGTCCATTTCTTCTTTGGCCCAGAGAACATGACTTCCATTATTCTGAAAGATTGTCTTGCCAGACCAAAATACACATTTCCTGCGCATCAGGTAATTTCAGAGGAGCTCAAGCCTAGCCAGCTTCTGGACGTTGTTGACATACGGCTTCTGTTGTGCATAGTACAGTCTTAACTTGCATCTGTAGATGTGTTTATTGACAGCAGTTTGCCAAAATATTCCTGAGCCCATGCGGTGATCTCCATCACAGAAGCATGCCGGTTTTTAATGCAGGGGTGGAGGGTCATGGGCATTCAGCTGTGGCTTAGAGATTTCTCCACATTCTCTGATTCTTTTGATGACATTATGCACTGACGAGGGTGAAATACCTCAAATCCTTGCAGTCATGCATTAAGGAACACTGGGCCTTATTCAGCAACCGTTCTTAAGAAGAAATTTCTTCTTACGCAGTTTTCACGAAGATTCTGACATTCACCAATGTTTTCTTTTTTGGGATTTGTTCTTAGGTAAGAACAGAATCTACACACTCAAAGAGCACAAAGGTGCGAACAATTCTGCGGTTTAAGAACACGTCATGAATCTGACATAAACTTTTTCTCAGGATCTTTCTCAAGAACTAATTTAAGAAAAACCTGAATTAGTGGTGAATGAGGCCCAATGTGCTTAAAATGTTGTATTATTTGCTGATGCATTTTTTGCAAAATAGTGAGCCTTGACCTATCCTTGCTTGTAAAGGCCTTTCTTGGATGCTCTTTTCATGTTCTAGCACAATTGCATCACAATTGTGTTTCAGATGTGCAGCATTTCACAGTGTTTCCCTCTATCAACCTTTCTGGAACATGTTGCAGGCATGAGTTTCAGAATGAGTGCATATTTACAAAAAACAGTGAAGCTGATAAGATAAAACATTTCATATCTGACTTTTGTTTTAATACAGGTCACACAGGGTTTATAAATCACTGCTTTCTGGTTTGCATTTCTCATACTGTGCCAACCATTTTTGGACTGAGAAAATTAAATGCTTGCTGGATGAAAAAGTTCCAAGACTGGAAACTTGATTCAACATGTAGATTTGAAGACTTCTTCTTTAGACTCTGTGGCAGAAGAACAGAGCCCAGAATCCTAGATGCCATAATCCATAAAGGAACTCCAGCATTTATCAACATAATCTCCTCCACATCTGTAGCATACAGTCAATTATGGTGGTCAGTAATTTCACTGTGTTTTCTTGTTTCTCTGTATTTATATAGAAAAGAATAGAATCACACTTTTTTTACATGTGGAGCACAATTTTGCCGGTAAACATTGGTTAAAACATGATTTTTAGAACACTTTTTTCAGAGATGGGACTAGTTTTCCAGGAATAAGCATTTGTGTTAATACATTACAATGTAATGGTGTGAGTCAATGGTTTTGGTAAAACATTCTCATCTCTGTCTCATCCAAGAACTACATGTGTAACAGTTGAATTGTCATTGCATAGTCATGTATTTTAAAATTTACCAGCTGCCCAGTGGCTTCTGTTAGAGTGTTTAGGGACAACCTAGAGAGTCTTTTACTAAGTACAGGCTTTCACAGGTGAAATTATGACCCATGGTAATTGACAGTACAACACAGATGCAGCAGTTTAGGTTGGAAAACGCTGGGTATTCCTTTAAACATGACTTCTAAACCTGACATCACTGAAGTGCACTGGACTGTGGCCCTGAAGTGGCCCTGCTCGGCTCTCAGCAACACAGACTAGCCGTCCAGACTGCCACACCCTATGTACAAATCATTTAAAATGCCCACTTCATTCTCAGGCATCAGTGGGATGTTGCTTGTGTGGTGAACTTCATGGAAGAGAGTCTCCCTGGACCAGTGTGTGAAATGGAAGTTTTTCTCATCTTCATCAACTTCAGTGTTTTTGTAAGTATATGCTCATTCTGAATTTGATACCTGCAGCATGTTCTAAAAGACTTGAGACAGGAGCGATTTAAGACTAGGAATGCTGTTAAATTTTCAGAAAACATTTTAACAGAGGTAACGTAATCACACTTGGGTATAAATGGAGCATCCAGGAAAGGCCCAGTCCTTTATGAGCAAGGACGGATTGATGCTCACCACCTTGCCACAAAATGCATCAGTAAATAGTCCAGCAGTTTAAGAACAACTTTCCACAATGAACGATTACAAGGATTTTAGGTATTTCACCCTCTACACTGCAGAATATTATGAAAAGATTCAGAGAATCTGGACAAAC